GGTGGCTGACGTCCCGATGTCAAAGTTAACCCGGAGTACCTTCAGCTTTTTAATTATTGTTTAACTTTGACATCGGGACGTCAGTCACCTCAGTCCCCCGTGACCATGGGTGCTGGAAAGCACCCGAAACGTCCGTCCGTAAAAATCCGTAAAAGTAGTTTTAATCAATAAAATTAAACAATAAAATAAAATTTAAAATTTACTTTTATTGCTGCAAATTGTGGCTCAAGGGTAGGTATTAAACATAATATTGCATCATTATAAGCGTCTGCTTTTGTCATAAGCGTTACTTCTAATTGTTGGATTTTAGTCGTCACCATATTGATCTTTTCTAAAAATTCATTTTTTAGCGCCAAAAATTGCTCAGCAAGCAATTTGTTAATTTTTTCAATAAGCTGCTCTTCAAAATTCGCTTGCGTTTTCCTCAGTTCCAGTACTACAGTTTCCTTGATTTCGTTCAGAACATAGTTTGATGTTAGGTTCTGGTTAGGAGATTGCTTAAACCAGGTTCCGCCATGGATCATATTGACATTTTCAGTTGGACTAGACATACTTTGGTCTAAGATTTGATGCGTGCGTACAGGGGTTTGCGAATTATTGCCCTTAGGTAGTCTACTGCGACATTCAACGCATATCCAGGACCTCTTAAATTCCACCGAAAAAGTAGCAAACTTTTCAGGACTAAAATTAGCACAAAATATGTCAAAAATTTGCTTACATTGAGTACACTTCATATAAGCGCTGTCTTTAGTCACATCGTTAGTGACATCCCGCGCAGGACGATTTGATTGGGCGCTGTGGTTGACAGTACTTAACAAAGCAATATGCCCCATTTACATTCAGCCCGTTTGAGCAGGGAAGTGAGCAGGGCAGTGGGCAGGGCAGTATGTAAACAGGCTACTCGCGCTGACACTGCCGCTGCCGCTGACACTGCCCGAAATGTCGGTTTTTCGTGCGGAAGTCAAAGGACGGGCAGCGCGAGCGGCAGTGTGTGTTCACATTCAGCTCCATCGCTCACTTCGCGACAAGCGCCTGGATGAACGGACGTGCGTGCCGTCCTGTTATTAAATAAATACGATCTACCAAAATGCCTTTCGAGTGGATTAATGAAAATACAATAAAGTTTTTAGAACTGCTGGAATCAGAAAAAACTATATGGGATTTCAACGATAAAAACCACAATTCATCATCTTCTACGAATACGAATTTTCTTTTTTGAGTTAACATAGTACCTATGTACATAATTAATTATAAATTCGTCAAATTTATTATATTAATATAAAATTTAGTTTAAGGAATTAATGAACATTGACATTTTATTTCTAAAAACGATTAGTAACTCATATTGATTATTTATTAATTAAAATGTAAAATAAGTTAAAAGGTAATATTTGCATAATAGCCTGAGATTTTTAAATTATAATTTTATTGTAATTAAAATTACGAATTAGTTTATACTGAAGTGTAATTAATAAAATAATAATAGCTTAACTAATCTCATATAATATTTAATATTATTTATGTAACAATAATATAATAATTCAATTAATAATTTATGAACAATTTACTGTATAAGAATTCAAATGGAGTGGATCTGTATAAGTATTTAATTGTACATAATATTTGAATTCAAAAAAAATGTGTGTACCTAACTTTTAAGCAACATCGGGTTTGTGTAATTAGCTGTATTTCATATCATTTTTCCATGCCAATTATGGCAAAACATGTCAGTTCCACGTCATTGATCATCTTATGTACCATGTTTTTAAGCAAATAAATTTTCTATCTATCTATCTACCTTCTTTTGAACTTGATATCTTTTTAAATTATTAACATAATTTTGTATTGCAAGAAGACACAGCGCGGACGCTGTAATTATTTCGACGTCCGCCATAGTCGAAAGCCGAAAGCGATGTGAGTGGTAGGGCAGAGTGTGAATACACACTTCCCGCGATCCTGCTACGGCAGTATTTAGCGAAGTATTGCCGGCAGCGCGAGGAGCAGTGGCAGTGGCTGAATGTAAATGGGGCTTTACGTAGCGAGCGGCGATGGCGACGATCGGCCGGCAGGTGCGGTGACTCACAGCAGCGAGCTATCCGCGAGTTGTCGTAGGCCAGTTACAAGACCGTTAGACAAAATTTTTAAAAATATTTTTGCTTGTAATTTAAGTAATTCCACTCACACTGAAATTTTAATGTAACCAATGGAATCATGGATTAATTAGCTTTAAAATGAATGTTAACATAACTCTAAGCGCGAACTTTAACTAATTATTATGACTGTTTCTTTACGGAGCAATTTAGCACAGTATGTTGTTTAATCAAACTCAATGAAAGATCCGAAGAAAGAACAGATCTAGAACGTGAAAGATTGAAGGAGAGATTTGACAAAATTAGAGCGCATATATGAAACTTATCATTTTTATCCTTAGGTTAGGGTCAAAGTTAAACAATAATTAAAAAAGCTGAAGGTACTCCGGGTTAACTTTGACATCGGGACGTCAGTCATCTCAGTCCCCCGTGACCATGGGTGCTGGAAAGCACCCGAAACGTCCGTCCGTAAAAATCCGTAAAAGTAGTTTTAATCAATAAAATTAAACAATAAAATAAAATTTAAAATTTACTTTTATTGCTGCAAATTGTGGCTCAAGGGTAGGTATTAAACATAATATAGAACGTTTTGTTGACGGTAATTTATAATTGTATATTAAGTTAATGATGTTATTTTATATTTCATATAATCATTGTTTACACAAAAGTATAATTAGTGACGCCCTAGATGGAAGTTTATTAACCAAATCGACTATATAGTGCAAATATGAAGATAGATAAAATTCCGGTTCACTTTTTTATTGACAGAGAACTAACTAAAATGTGTTATTGTTGAAAAAACGTATTTAGTAAAAATAACTAATTATAAAAAAAAATCAAAAATAAATCAAAGTAGATTTTTATAATACTAGTTACAAATATCTTTATTAAAAATATGTTTTAAAGATATATGGGTTAAAAATAAGCATACTTTATATTTGATTGTAAGTAAGTAGATGCTGCGGCTCGTAAGCACCTACATCTTTCATCGATTAAGTATCAAAATACAGATAAGCTATGGTTCCTTAGGACTAAGATACAATGCCATGTTACCACTATAAGTGCTTCCGGTTCTCGTTGTTCACCATACAAAACAGTAGCGTTATGGTGTCATTATACGCTGATATTCTGTAATATACATAGTCAAACCAGGTTGAGCGAAAAACAAGTAATAATAACTCAAAAGTGATAAAAGTATCGTCATAATTTGGTGTCATTAAGAAAACGATCATTATTTAGATACAACAGCAACTGAGCAACATAGTACATTTAATTAATTATGTGTTTGCGTGAAGTATTACGTTCCACACGCAACAGCGGTAAAAGCCGCTACATTTCGCAACACGAAAGGTGAGGCAAATTTTTTTTCATATTTCTCCATGAAGAAAATGATTTTTCTAATCTTTAGTATTTTTTGCTATTCTTTAGGTATGCTAGAAGGTTTCAGTAAGAAATATTTTTAGACCGTCTAATGAATTCATGGGAGATTTGATGTTATTAAGACAAATAACCATCTTTTTGATCGTCTGTTGGTCACTCTTGTCTGTCTGCTTGACCGCGCTAATCTTCAAAATGTTTGAACCAATAGTTATGAAAACTCACAAACAGATAAAGAACAATGCCAGAAGTAATCTAGGCTAGCATAATCGAAAAAAATACTACTTGGCGCAGTGGCTTAGCAATGAGTTGCAACGCTGAGGACTGCGGGTTTGAATCGCGCACGGAACAAATATTTGTATGGCCTACAAGTAATTTTTCCGGCTCTGGATGTTCGTCCTTGTGTAAATTTATGTTTGCAAACTATCTCCACTATACAGGAGAAATTCTTAGTGTGGAGGTAATGATATTTAAATAAAATAGAGGATTTCTTATAAAATCAAAAAAGTTCTAAGATAAAACAAAAAGTATAAGAGAAACGGTATTAAACAAGGGTTTAGAACAAAAATATACTGTTTGGCAAGTTTACACCAGTACAGAACTATGATTATTAGTCTAAAAGGATAAAATGATAAGGATAAAAATGATAAGTTTCATATATGCGCTCTAATTTTGTCAAATCTCTCCTTCAATCTTTCACGTTCTAGATCTGTTCTTTCTTCGGATCGTTCGTTGAGTTTGATTAAACAACATACTGTGCTAAATTGCTCCGTAAAGAAACAGTCATAATAATTAGTTAAAGTTCGCGCTTAGAGTTATGTTAACATTCATTTTAAAGCTAATTAATCCATGATTCCATTGGTTACATTAAAATTTCAGTGTGAGTGGAATTACTTAAATTACAAGCAAAAATATTTTTAAAAATTTTGTCTAACGGTCTTGTAACTGGCCTACGACAACTCGCGGATAGCTCGCTGCTGTGAGTCACCGCACCTGCCGGCCGATCGTCGCCATCGCCGCTCGCTACGTATTGCTTTGTTAAGTACTGTCAACCACAGCGCCCAATCAAATCGTCCTGCGCGGGATATCACTAACGATGTGACTAAAGACAGCGCTTATATGAAGTGTACTCAATGTAAGCAAATTTTTGACATATTTTGTGCTAATTTTAGTCCTGAAAAGTTTGCTACTTTTTCGGTGGAATTTAAGAGGTCCTGGATATGCGTTGAATGTCGCAGTAGACTACCTAAGGGCAATAATTCGCAAACCCCTGTACGCACGCATCAAATCTTAGACCAAAGTATGTCTAGTCCAACTGAAAATGTCAATATGATCCATGGCGGAACCTGGTTTAAGCAATCTCCTAACCAGAACCTAACATCAAACTATGTTCTGAACGAAATCAAGGAAACTGTCGTACTGGAACTGAGGAAAACGCAAGCGAATTTTGAAAAGCAGCTTATTGAAAAAATTAACAAATTGCTTGCTGAGCAATTTTTGGCGCTAAAAAATGAATTTTTAGAAAAGATCAATATGGTGACGACTAAAATCCAACAATTAGAAGTAACGCTTATGACAAAAGCAGACGCTTATAGTGATGCAATAACTAAGAATTTGGGTTTAAATATAACATCAATTAAAGCTGGGCATAAAACTAAAACTCAGTCCCAGATGAAAGCGAAGCCCGTCGTACAAAATGAATTACCAAGTACCTCGCTCGCATATTCAGTACCTGATGCAGATAGAACTATGCAGAAGCCCCGCTTTATATCTACTCCTGCAGTTGGCGATCCTGACTCTGATAACCTTGACAAGGACAGATGGGTGGAGGTGAGACGCAGACGATCTCGTACTTAGAGATATCGCAGCGCCTGGATCAACACCACTTCAAGCTGCCGCTTGGTGGAAATACCTGCATCTGTACTATCTTCAAGAAGATACCACTGTGGAACAAGTGCGGGATCACCTTAGTATTATATGTTGCAGTGCACGAGTACCGTCGAGAAGCTGAAGTCCCGTGGGCGCTATGCTTCTTTTAAGCTCGGTATTCCTCTTGAAATTGCTGAAACTGTCCTGTCATCTGGCAACTGGGCTGAAGGCATATGTGTTAAGGCTCGGCGTCAGAACTTTCGTGTCAAAATCAACAGCCAACAAGCATCCTCCGATAGTGCGTGAGTTAAGGATTTTTTATCACAATGTTCGAGGCCTAAGATCAAAAACAAGTACATTTATGAACAATGTTACACATAGTGAATATGACATCATAGGGTTGACTGAGAACTTTTTAACTAGTTCAGTATTTGATAGCGAACTTTTTCCTCCTGGTTACACGGTAATACGTAAAAATATAGCGAACGATACTAGGTGGGGGGTGTACTGCTTGCTGTTCGAGACTGTTATTCTGTTCGGGTTGTTACTGAAATTGATCATATGACTAAAGACAAAGAATTAATATTTGTAATTATTAATTGTAAAATATTAAAATATTATGCTGTCTTGTATACTTGCCTTCGAACTATACTGACGTTCAATATTTAAATATTTTGGCCTGTATTGAAAATGTTATTTTTACATACACCGACATGAATATATTAATTATGGGTGATTTCAATTTGAATTCTTGTAGCGTTAATGTAAAGACCCGATTTGATTTTTTTTTGTAATTTTTGTTCTCTCCACCAATTTAATACAGTGTTAAATAGACGAAGCGGTATGTTGGATCTCGTACTGAGAAATTTAGAGCCCAGTCAATTAAGAGTGTCTCTAAATTTAGACCCTCTGGTAGAAATTGATGAGTATCATCCCGCGTTTGATACTATAATCAAGCTTCCATTCGCTTTTTCAACATTCCTTTCTTCTCCTGCTTCGCCAACTTCATCCCTTTCCAATAAGCAGAGCTACCACTGGAACTGGCGCAAGGCAGATTTTCATGGTCTTTATGCGGCTTTATCCAAATTAGATTGGTCAGATTTACTTAAATAGAAATAGAAATAGAAACTTTTTTATTCAATGTAGATTATAAAAATACTTATTGAAAGTCACTTTTTTAATTTACCACTGGTTCGCAAAAAAAACCTCTGTCCTGGGAAGAACCAGCAAGAAACTCAGCGGGATTATTTTTTTTCATAATAGCTTACAATCATGTTTACAATCAACAACACAAGACAAATTAGAAATAGCTTGGTAGCGATCACCCTTCCCAGGGGTTATTGTCATCTATAAATTCCTTAATATTATAATAACCCTTTTTATACAAACTTAGTTTAATAACATTTTTGAACTTTGTGTATGACAAATTTTGTATATTTTCTGGGATTTTGTTGTAAAAGCGTATACATCGTCCCAAGAATGAATTACTGACTCGGTGGAGTCGAGTAACTGGTACTACCAGCTTGTGTCTGCACCTAGTATTTACAGAATGAATATCACTTATTTTCGCAAAACTACTTTTATTTTTGTGTACGTACATTACATTTTCATAAATGTATTGAGAGGCCAGAGTTAATATATTAATTTCCTTAAATTTTTGTCTCAGTGATTCTTTTGGTTTTAAATTATATATTGCTCTAATGGCCCTCTTCTGTAAAATAAATATAATTTCAGTGTCAGTCGCGTGTCCCCATAGCAAAATACCATACGACATAATGCTATGGAAATAACTAAAGTAAACTATTCTAGCTGTTTCAACACCGGTAAGAGTTCTAATCTTTTTTACAGCATATGCTGCAGAACTAAGTCTGCTAGCTAGTTTTGATATATGGGGGAGCCATTGAAGCTTTGCGTTCAGTGTGATTCCAAGAAAAATGGTGGTATCAACAAGACTCAGTTCCTCCCCATTTAAAATAACATTAGTATTGACATGTTTAACATTAGGAGTTACGAATTTCATACATTTAGTTTTAGTTCCATTCAAATGCAAATTATTAACATTAAACCAATTGACTAACCTAGCTATAACATTATTTACTTCGTCGTAATTTAATAACTGTCGTTTTAATTTGAAAATTAATGAAGTATCATCAGCAAATAATACTATATCATGGTTATCCCCTACTATGTAAGGTAAGTCATTAATATATACAAGAAACAGAAAGGGGCCGAGAATTGAGCCCTGAGGCACGCCCTTTTGTACAATCGACCCGGAAGAACTCATACTATTAATAACAACTTTTTGTGTTCTGTCACTTAAATATGAAATAATTAATTTAAGAGCATCATTTCTTACACCGTAGTGTTGAAGTGTCCTGATTAATGTTTCATGGTGAACACAATCGAAGGCTTTGGATAGGTCACAGAACACACCCAAAGCATCCTGTAAATTCTCCCATGCATTAAATATATATTTAATCAGCTCAACACCAGCATAAGTTGTCGAGCGTCCCCTTGTGAAACCAAATTGATTTTTATGAAGTAATTTATTTACATTAAAAAAAATTAACAATTGATCAAGAATAATTTTTTCAAAAATTTTACTAAGTGTTGGCAGTACAGAAATAGGTCTAAAATTAGCGGGGTCCAATGTACTACCAGATTTAAATAAAGGTATTACTTTACTATGCTTCATTAAATCAGGAAACACACCAGATTTGATACTACTATTAAAAATAATAGATAGTTGAGGTGCGATTGTGTCTATCATCGACGCAATAACTTTAACAGAAATCCCCCACAGATTGGCGGTTCTCTTAATATCAATAGTCTTAAAATATTTTACAATATCTTTTGATGAAACTTTAAATCTTTTGTTTGACATCTAAAATTCTTTGTACACACATTTACATTTTGTTTAAGTAATGATTCGGCGACGGTAGGAGAAGAATTCAATGACTTAGTGGTTAAGATCGGAATATCAGTAAAATATTTCTCAAAAACCATTGCAACGTCCTGATCTGATTTAGTTAATTTATTGTTAAAACTTAACTGGTAGTTTGAATTGCGAGAGTTGACCTTACCAGTTTCACTATTAATTATACTCCATGTCATTTTAATTTTATTAGAAGCAGTCTTTATTTTGTTGCTTAAATACAATGACTTGGCTAAGGAGCACACTCTTAAATATTTTGGAATATTTTTTTACATATTCCCTAAATTCGACGCTAGGATTATATGACCTTTCATTGTAAAGTTCATATAACCTTTATCTACTCTTATGGACTCCTACTGTCACCCATTAATTAAATGCTTTACGATTATTCAAGTAGAATGTTTTAGAAGTAAAAGTATTATTAAATTCATTGCAAATGAGCTTAAATAATGTTGCATACAAAAAATTTGGATTATTTTGGTATGAAAGTAATGGAAGTTTTTTTACTATGTTACTTCTAAACTTCTCCAAGCGATGTGCATTTAATGGAACAAACACTACTTTTTTATCTACTTGCTTTTTGTGAACATAAGGTAATGAAACAAATTGTCCACAGTGATCAGCGCTCAATTTTTGAATTATACATTTATTGAACGGCTTAACATTTGTAAAAATGTTATCTATACATGTTGCACTAGATTCAGCAATACGTGTTGGCTCCAAAAATAAATTAAAAAGACCATAAGATTTAAACAATGATCTAAATTTAATATTAGTGGAGGAAGCTTCTAGGAGATTGATATTAAAGTCTCCTCATATTACAACAGATTTATTCTGTTTATTAAGCTTAGCGAAAACTTCGAAGACGTACGGATACTATATTATATATATATATATAAGGATACTGAAGTGGAGGGGCAGGCTGCTGCTGATGTCTTTGCAGAATTTTTCATCCGAATATACCCTTTTTGGATCCTATTAAGGCTGCTCAAGCTGCACATTTTAATCAGGACATTACGTCCGTATCTATAAATGCCGTCGATACGAGGGATTTGAAAGAGGCTGTGAAACGTCTCAAACCGCGTTCATCCAGTGGGCCTGATGGTATTCCTGGTTTCTTGGCTAAAAATTGTATAGCTGTACTAGAGGGGCCTCTCTTGCATATCTTTAACCTTTCACTAGCTAATGTTAGGTACCCTAAAATTTGGAAACGTTCCAGGGTTATCCCAGTGCCGAAAGGGGATGGGAGTATGAACGTATCATAATTTAGACCAATTGCTGTCTTATCAGTGTTTGCCAAAATATTTGAGTCTATTCTCAGCAAACATATTAATAGTCAGGTTGGTCATTTGTTACACAATAGCCAACACGGTATCCGTAAGGCTCGTTCTACTACTACGAACTTAATTGCGCATATAGACTACATAATATATAAGGAGATGGACAGTTACAAACAAGTAGACGCGGCATACTTCGATTTCAGAAAGGCCTTCGACCTCGCCGGCAACGACAAACTGTTAGAAAAGTTGGCATTTATTGGCTTTACCCCCAAACTCATTCGGTTTTTCTCATTTTTTTCTGAATAATCGATGTCAGTACTTGCGGGTGAACGGGTATAATTCCAGCAATTACTTCACGAGATCAGGCGTCAGTCAGGGCAGTACGTTGGGTCCAACCCTCTTCCTGCTCTTTATAAATGATCTGCCGAACACCGTTTGTTTTTCTGAATGTCTCCTCTTTACTGATGACTTAAAACTTAATTTGGGTATTGAATCTGAATCAGATACCATAAATTTACAAAGAGACATTGATGCGGTGGTGAGTTGGAGCCAAGAAAATATAATTCCTTTAAATAATAATAAATGCAAAGTAATTACTTTCACTCGAAAACCTAGACCAATTGTAAATTTATATAGCTTACTTGACGCTCCTCTGGAAAGAGTAAATAATATTCGAGACTTAGGGCTGTTATTAGATTCCAAATTAGACTTTCATCTTCACATGACAAGTATCTGTAAGAACGTGCATAGAATGTTAGGTTTTGTTATTAGGA